CCGCTCAAGTCCTCTGTTGTTTGCAAGGGATGCTCCTTCCTTATCTTCCAATATCTGTTTTGTGTCTTTAGCCTATAGCAGAAAGAGCTGCCCCATTTTTGTGTGTATTTGTCTATGGGCTTGGTGTGGCTCTTGTCCCAAGCCCAATTTTTATTTCCCAACTCTATTGCAGCCTGTCTCTTCTGCTTTACCAAAAGAAGGTTTGGGGAGTTGCTACAGTGTGCCCTGATGAGGCCATTTTCTCCGCAAGTATAGCAGAATATGTGGTGTTTCCATTTTCCTGAACTTCATGAGTCAGCCCTTGCCACACGCCTCCCCCCGCTGCAGTGTTGCCTTCTGCCTTTCCTGCATCAGGAACTGTAGGAGGGCCTGGCCTGTAGAGTATTGCCAGGGTCAGCGAAAGACACTGTTCTGAAACCACTGGCTCTTGCAGGTAACCTTATGCCTGTTTCTAACCCACCTAGATTCTCCCTCTTGGGACCTAAAGTGGCTTCCCATTCCTCCTCCTCACACAGCAGCTTCACTAATGCCAAGGAACCAGGAGTCTTCCTTTGCTGTTTCATCAGCTTAAGCCTGTCTCAAAGTTTGTCAATGAGGTTGGCCCCATTTAAGACTAGTTTCAGGCAAGTCTGATTCACATTCCTTCATGATACCACATTTTTTTTCTACAGCTCTTTGGAGCAGGGGTTCCAACCATAACACAAAACTAGAGACTTTCTCTCCTGCCTCCTGATAGGCCTTACAGAACTTCACATGAGCGATTTTATGGCTCTCTACAGGTCCAAACACCTGCTGCAGGGCTGTCAGGCACTCCTCCACAGTTATGGCAGCATTGTACCTGCCACATCTGTAGCACCTCAGTGGTGTGCTCAAGCCAAGCTTCAAAGGACAATGCCCCTGGAATAGACACACTGTTCCCAGAAAACACTCTCAGTTCTCAGTATGACATTTGTTCTACCAGAAGCTGCACTACTGTCCCCAGGGTTTAAGTCCAAGTCCAAAAATCAGGTGATATGGCCACTCTGGGAGTGGGGCAATTGATGTCTGATCCAAGGACTCTGTTCCTGTCTGACACTGTCCACCTCTCCTCCTCTAAACAGTGGTTCAGTCTATTGAGAAATTCACCATCTGAGTTAGGAGGTTTTGCCGCCACTTCCCAAGGCCCTCCCTTTCCCAGTATTTCCCGGGGATCAAAGCATATTTGATACCTTGGGCAAGCTCTAGGAGAAATGCTTGGGCATTCTCCTCCCTCCTAAACATCCTGCCAATGACCCTATACCTGCCCAGGTGACTGGGAGCCTCATCACAGTCCTCAGGAATCCCCAGGATGAGCATGGACCTCTGGGTGTCCAGATGTTCCTCTCCCCTGCACCAATCCTGCAACAATGTCAACCGCATGACCCCGGTCTCTACAGCGTCTAATTTAGGGGGGAATGATCAGTGTGTGATGCACAGAAATCTGGGTCAGCTCCTAGGGCGATAGCAGACAGCCCAAGTCTCCACAGCCTGTGAATACGAATGGGGCAAGATCAAGGTTAATACTGACACCTCCTCTCACACCCAGGGCTGCCCCTCCTACCCCAGCAGCGCCTCTGCAGCCCAGGCTCATCCCCCACCTCCGCAGCCTCCTCCCCACACCGCTCCCAGCCCCCAACAGACTGTCGTAGTCCTGCTGAGGCGGTGGAGCATGGACCTTCCACGTAGCCCCGGAGACCGCCGGGCCATTGGCACATGCGGATCACGTGGCGGGGTGGTCGCCACCGCTGCTTGCGCCCGGGACCTCAGGTGACATTACCTGCTTCTTCCCTCGCCCCCAACGTGGTGCTGGCACAGGTGAGGAACCCAAGGGATCCAGCCCTGTCCAATCCCCCGCTCCTGGAATGTGCCCTTAGGGCACAAGCGCGCCGTGGGGTCCACACCCCGGGGTACCCACTGCAGAGTGGCTGGACAGGCCCAAGGTGCGCCAGCCAACGCTGTGTTCAAGCCAAGAGTGGGGAGCCTCTGTGGCTTCTTCACCTGCTCTTCTCCTCCCCCTCTCTCTCCCCACCTAGGACAAGTACTGTCCCAAGACGAGGCAAGGAGCACCTCATCTAGAGGCGCACCTGGTGCGATTCCGTGGAGTAGATACCATGTATGCGCATTCGTGCTCACACACACACCACGCCCTGCGCTCCCCACACCTTACCTGGGGGCTGAAGGCAGGAGGCCTTGGCCACTGAGAGTGCAGGACAGGCCAAACCATTCCCTGCTCTGATGCCAGTGGCTAGCCCCAAAGAGGGTAATGGAGTATCTGGCTTGGCAGGGGCCTTTCCCTTTTTGTGCACTGCAAGTCCAGTGTCTGGAAAACTGCTTTCTCCAGTTGGAGCCCCAACCTCTTAGGCCTGCTTTTCCCTGTGGGTAGTAGACTTTGGGTTGTGTTGTATCAGTTACACCCCAGGAGGCATCAGAGGAAGAGAGGGAGTGACTGCCCTTCAGGCAGGGGGCCCAGGTAGTCTACATGCTTTTTCCTGCCTGCCCTGCCAACCACATTTCTGCCTATTGTGGGCAAGCCTCTCTCTGCTACACAAGCTGTCAGGTCTCAAGCACCTGAATGTGAAACCCCTGGAAATTAAATGTTGCCTTGCCCATCTAACCCTTGGAAAGTCTGCACACCCTCAAAGGCACACAAACACCACTGTTGTAGACTCCTGGCTTGAACTATGTTAGTATTATTGGAAGTGGAGAGAAGTAAAGGAATTTGAAAGATATTTTAAAATAGAATCAATACAATTTGGGGTCGGAGGGAACCTGGTTAGGGGGTGTTAGGGGAGATGATTAGTGTAACTACTATTAGCCCTTCACTTTTGCCTGGCTAAATGGTATTGTTCCTTACAGCAGGGCTTTGGTCCATGTGGTTGGTCTATAGAGCCATAACTGAATCAGGCTCTGTGGAGGCTGAGGTTGGTATATCTCAGGCATTGTCCTAGTTGAAGGTTCCTGCTGGGCCCTCCTGTTGCTGTGGGCTAATGATTGGCTACCTTTCTCAGTAGCTTTCTGCATCCTTGCAACTTGATCCAATGCTGTGTGTTGCTGAACTCCCCAAGGGAGTTCCCTGTCTGAGTTCCCTGTTCTCCTATGCCTGGCCCAGTGCCAGACTGATGAAAGCACTCTACCCTGAGCTGCAGCTGGAGTTAACCTTAGCAATTCTCATTCTACCCCCTGCAGTCTGCAAGAGCACCACATGCCTGTCTGGGACCCACATTGTCCCGGTTTCCATTGTGCAATCCATGGCTGCAGGTATGGTAGCAGGCAGCTTGGCCACGGGAGCCCCAAGCAGGGTCTCTGGGCACAGTTCATTGCCTAGGTCCTCGTCCTAGAGGTTCTCTCAGCTGACTACAACTTCTGCCTCGCTGCCACCCAAGGCAGAGGGGCAGTGCCCGCCTAGACCCCGCCTGTGCCCGAGCCGTGGACTACAACTTGCAGGCTTCTTCAGAAGGGCTCTAGTACCTCAGTGTATCCTTGTGGGGCAACGACGGTTAACAGCCCCTTCAGAAGAGTGCAAGACCCAAGCCTGGGACCCTGGAACGCTCCAGCAAGCAAGTGTGGAGCTTGGGAGGAGAGGAGGAGATGCGGGGGTCGGGGGCGGCGGGGGGGGGGGCGGTCACTGTGCATAGCATGCGCCCTGTAGGTTGGCGGTAGGTTTGGCGTTCTTACTGAGCCGAAGTCTAGTGAAGGCCCAGAGTTTGTCCTCCTCCCTGCAGCCCAGTGACTGGTGGCATGTTAGGCCTAAATGCCATGGTGATGGCCTTGCTTTGACGTGTTTGACAGCTGAAGTAGAGCTTGCTGGAGAAGATCAGTAAGGCTAAGGCTGGGTGCTGGAGGTAAGCTGTGCACAGACTGACTGCACTGCCCGCGGGCATGGCCAGAACCCTGATGTTCCCGAGGTTGTGGCAGAAAGAGTGGGTCAGCCCCTTTCTTAGTTGGAAGCAGGAGGAAACCTTTGCATTGGGGCGGAGGACTGCCAGGCTGGATGATTGGGGCAAATAGGGCACCCGTTGCCTTGGGGATGTAAAGAGGACACGTGGTGGTGTACCAGGCAGCATTTCCTAGAGGCGATGCTGTCCAACAGAAACATAATGTGAACTACATGTATGCTTTTCAAATCTTCTAGTAACCATATTGAGCATTCAAAAGACTGGTGAAATTAAGTTAACAATGTGTTTTATTTAACTCAACACATTTGAAAGCATTTTCATTTCAATGTGTGATCAATATATGAAGTTATCCGTGAGAAATTTTGCATTCTTTTCCTCTTCTTTAACTCTTAAAACTCTGGTATATATTTGCCCAGTATACATCTCAACTCAGACTCACATTGCAAGTGCTCATAGCCACAGTGGCTTCATGACTGCCTTTCTCATCAGCCCAGCCCCATGATGTTCTCTTGCCTGCTCCCTTCATGGGTTGGGTATAGAGGAGTAGCTCAGATAGCGCCTGCTGCCTAGTGGAATCCTTGTCTTGCCAAGGTTTCTGCCACCCAAGCTTCCAATCATTCCTTCCACCTGGCTTCCACTTGGCAAAGCACTGCTATGTGTTTTTTTTCTAATTTTGAACTCCAGTGCCTGTGAGGCAGGTAGGATATCTGATAGTGCCATTTCACAGGTGAGGACTACCCAGTCAGTGTGGACATTTTAAGCTTAGGAGTGTGCTTGCTTTAGGCAGGGCCAGAGTCTCTCATGGTTGCTTCCTCCTCCCCCAGTACTACCTTCCCAGGACTTTGCTCTTCCCCCATAACGATGACCCAGAAGAAGAGAACAAGGTTGATGAGCTCCTGGCAGTCTCTTCAGAGGTGAGCTGGGATTCCTGTTCCTCTCTGAAGGGCTCCCTACCCTGGACTGACTCCACCAACCCTCAGACTTTTCACAAATTGCTCAGCTTGGAAGAAGGTGGAAAGCATAGGACACCCTTCTATAACTTTGTCCTGTCCATCCACCATTTGATCATTCATCACACCATTGAGATCTGCTCTGTACCTCAAAGTTCTCTATTATGCCAGTGTGAGGCCCAGCCCTAGGCATCAAAGAAGTTAGGGTGTGCTGGGGAGAAATAGCAGAACAAATCCTGAGCATGAAATGCTGAAATAACAAGAAACTACCTAACTGCACACATCAGTTTAAACAGGAAGTACTATGGGGAACAAAATACGAAGGAATTTAAACTTTATTTGGAGACTTAGAATGGTAGGCAAGGGGTTTCCAGGCTATAGGAGAGTAAGGCAAAGGCTCAGGGACACAAATGAATGCAGTTTCTTCAAGAACTAATGAGAAGACAGGCTAGAGTAGAAGGTGTGTCAAAGCAGAGGTCAAAATTTATGTGTAAGAATAAATCCAGATGGTATGTATAAGCATACATGTTGTGGTAAAATACATAGCATAAAACTTAGCATTTCAACCATTTTTAAGTGTACAGTTCAGTGGCATTTAGTACTTTCACGTTGCTGTGCAGCCATCAGTACATCCATCTTCATAACTTTTTCATCTTTGTAAAGTGAAACTCTGTCCCCATTAGATATGAACACTCCATTCCCCCTTCTTTCAGTCCCTGGTAACTACCATTTGACTATCTCTATGACTTTGCTATAATAACTGGAATCTATAGTATTTGTCTTTTTGTGTCTGGCTTCTTTCACTCAACATAATGTCCTCAAGATTGGTGTCTATAATCTTGGCAATCAACTTCACTAGACCTTATTGTGTAGACATTGGGAAGCAGACAAAAGTTTAGGATGAAGATTGTTCTATCACAGGCAGTATTTTAGGGCAAGCCTATAGGGGGTGTGGAGAAGGGAACATACAAAGTTCCCAGGTTTTTTTTTTTACTTGAAAGTCTGACAGAATTACAGTCTTTGTATTACTTAAATGAGAAGCTATTAGTTGGCCTCAGGAAACCCTCCAAGAATATGTTTTACACATAAAAAGGGTTTCAAAGATCTAATTTATTGCAACTTGTCAATATGTAAAAGAAAAAAACAACTTTCCATGATTTCCCAGTCTTTTAGCTCAGGTTGTGACTCATAGATTCCCGGAAGGTTTCCCTTGACCCAGTAAAAGAAAGGGGCATAGACTGGTTAGGCCTGTACAGAGACCCGGAGGAAATGGTTGTCTGGTCTTTGGTGCAAGCTAGTTGTTTTCACTGCATGCAAGAAAACAGGTAGAATAGAGCTTAGTCTTTTACTATTGTATTAGCCACAATGAAGAAGGTGTTTATTTTCTGTGATTTTAGCTCAGTTTTCAAATTAAGAAATTTAGGTCAATATTCAAGTAGCAAACATATAAAAAATTCATGTTGCATATAAATGCAGATCTACCAGTCTAATAATATCGGTGCAACTCTTCTAGATCAGGGAAGTTGATTTAGAG